GGGGCAGTCATCGGGGGGACTGGCACAGGGGGGGACGCACCGACCTGGAGTCGGCGATGCATCGCCGATAGATCGGCGAAAGGCCCCAGATAGCGAATCCGCACCTTCCTATGCATGTTAGGGCTATCAGGCCCTATCGGCGATCAATGGGCGATTGGGTGTCGATGTATCCGCCCCCATGCCGATCCCCCCTACCGTTGCCCCCGGACTGTTGAGCAGGGGCCGACCGTCCTGGCATTCCTACAGTCCTACCACGAAATGTTCTTAGAACCCAGAAATGTTCTAAGAACAAATACAATGTTCTTCGAACTGAAGCCCGATATGTTAAAACAAGACAATCTCAACCAACAATGTTCTAAGAACATTTCGTGGAAACCACAAAAAGTTCTTAGAACATTGCTTGGTAGGGCTATAGGCGAGCCAGGACGCTTCGCCACTGCTTGAGACTGTTTGGTCTTCGAAAGGTCGAAGGGAAACCGCCGGCCAGAACACCACCCCGAGGACCCGCCGATCACAAAACCGTGATCGTGATCAGGTGTCGTGATCCCGGCCACGCTTTTCGATCGACGATCAGAAAGTTTGATCGGCGATTGAAAATCTTGATCGACGATGTCCCGATCATAAACTTTGATCGGATGCTGCGGCCCGCCTTGCGACCCGCCCCGCGACCCGTCCACGACCCACGCCGCAAGGAGGACGACAGAGTCTCATTTTCTGGCGACCGATTTTCGAGGTGGCTCGTTGATGCATCAAACCGCCAGGTTTTGGAGGCGGCCGGGGGTGTCTGAGCTGGTTGGGGCCCCCGAGAATCTTTCAGGCGGGGGGATGAAGCCCCAGACACGATTGCGTCGCAAAGCGATATCGCTGGCACGTTTGGCCGTTTTCGGCCTCGGGGGGCCCTCGCCGGGCCTCGGGACCATTAAAAAACAACTCAGGATGCAAAACCGGTCCCAGGGAAAGGGTCGGGACTTCCAGGGGCGCCGTATTGAACAAAATCAGGACGTCACATGCCTCGGAAGCCACATCCGCTCAAAATCGGTCTCCAGACCCCCTCCCGGGGTCCATCTGGTGCAGGCTTTCACCCGGGACCTGTTTTTCACGGTCCCTGGGCCCGAAAAAGGCCCCCACAGGCAGAAACAAAGAAAACGCCTTCCCGAACACAGAACCTCGAACCTGCCCGCCCTCCCTGCTGGCAGGCTGGAATCAATGCTGGGCCACCTCAGACCCTGAGATCCGACGGCGCGAAAAATTTGGAAGCATCGTAGAAAATGACGACCATAGCCCTAGTTAGACCCCATCTCTCTGTGGCATTTTCAGACATGCGACGTCCTGATTTTATGATTACGGGGTCCCTCGAGTCCCGACCCTTTCCCCGGGACCGGTTTTTCATCCTGAGCCATTTTAACGGCCGCGCCGGATCTCCAGACGGCTCTAACCGCCAAGGATCTTTTATGTTGCATCCTCAGAAGACCTTGTCTGTCCCGTCAAGGTCCTATCCACGTCGAACCCGTGTCGAATCCATGTCGGACTCGTCGGCTCTGTGCCGAAGCCGTGTCGAATCTGCGTCAAATCCACGCCACATCCGCGTCGAGTCCGCGTCGGGCACAAGAAAAAAAAACACTTTCAGAGACAGGGAGGACCAGGAGGAGGAGGAGGAGGAGGAGGAGGAGGAGGAGGAGGAGGAGGAGGAGGAGGAGGAGGAGCAGAAGGAGAATGAGGAGGGGGAGGATGAGGAGGAGGAGGAGGAGGAGAGGAGGAGGAGGAGGAGTAGGAGGAGGAGGAGGAGGAGGAGGAGGAGGAGGAGGAGGAGGAGCCATTTTGGCTCAAGTTGGCGTGTCTTGCCCCCCCCCAACGGGCCTCCCCCCGCCGCAAGAGCATCTGGCGGGCGTGACCGATGGGGCCCCGACGTCGGTCGCGCACCCCGCGGCGCGGCGCGGCCCCCCGGCGCAGCCATGAGGGGCGGCGGCCCCCAGAGCGGCAGACGCTGGACGCTGACAGGCGCGCGGGCGCGGGCACTGGAGCCCCCCGCGTGCCAACCCTGGCAGGGCGTGGCGATGGGACTGCGCCCCCCCGCTCGTTTGCTGATTCCTCTGGGACTGGGCATTGGGGCCCCCCATTGGGGCTACCAGCAGGCGGGGGTGGTGACAGCCCAGAGGGAGTGGGCACTGGGGCCCCCTATCGGCTAGGCGTAAGAGTGACCCTGGGTAAGAGTGACCTTTGGTGCGCAGCTTTTGGGGGCGCGAGGGAGCCAAACCCAAGGGCGCGGGCCGCTTATAGTTATCGCATCGCGCTCGGCGATCGGGGGGAGCCCGATGAGCCCGCACCAAAGGTCACTCCGGCGAAAGGTCACTCTTACGCGTAATCGACACCTAGCAGCGGCACAGCCGCTGGCCAGAGCGGGCGACTTGTCCGCCGGCATGCTGCAAGAGTGGGTCTCACTGGCAGCGGTGGGCTCCGCAAGCAAGGAGCTGTTCGGCCGGGTCGGCCGCGCCCTCCCTTGTGCCAGAGCGGGGCCGCATTGGGCAGCGCCGTGTGCCCGCAGAGACATCCGAGCCCTCTTAGACGCGAAACCAGACTTCGGTATCACGGATGTCCCGCAGGAGTTGCATGCCCACCGCGAATGTGACGTTCAGCTCGGCATTGTACTTAAACAGCTCTCGCTCCGTCTGGAGGCCAGAGCGAAGGGCCTGCCGTTCAACAGCTGCTACGGCCCGTGGGAGGGCGGATTACGTTCAACAGATGTCGACTGGCTTCCTGGTGCAAGCGTGCAAAAGGTCAAGTTGTCGTGTTATAACGTGAAAGGGGGCCTTCGGGATGGAAAGCGGTGTGGGGTCGTGCCATAACCGCATCCAAGCCGTTACGGGCGCTCTTTACGAGTCCGGTGTGTTGATTGCAGTCCTCTCGGAACCATGTCTGTCCCCTGGCGCGATATGTCCTGACACGGTTAGGCATGGGTACATTGGCGAATGTTCGGCTTTGCCAGACACCGTGGCAATCCTGGTTCGTGACGATATTGTTCAGCTGGCGGCGCAGGTACCGGGAGTGGGTGACCAGAGAGCTATCTGGATGGCAATATCCACCTGCTTGTGTCTCTCCGCTCCCCCCCTTGCCCCCCCATGCTCCCCCTCCTGGCCCCTGCTTCTCTCTCTCTCTCTCTCGCTTTCTCTGTCTCTTTCCCTCCCCATCTCTCTCTCTCTCTGCCTTTCCTTACTGCCCCGTTGTGGGGCTAGCGGACTGGCCGAGGCGGGGATCTCGGCGCGGCCGACGGGTGTCGGCGCGCGGCCGAGATGCCATCGGTATCGCACGTTCTGTTGCCCTTTCTCCTCCCCTTGCTTCCTCCCTCTCCCCCTTCCCTTCCCCTCCCCCACTCCCCCCTTCCCCCTTCTCCCCCACTTCGCCCTCTCTCTACCTCCCATTTCTGCCCCGTGGTCGGGATTGGCGGAATGGCCGAGGCGGAGATCTCGGCGTGGCTGATAGCTGTCGGCGCGTGGCCGAGATGATGTGAGAATATGACATTCATCTCTTTCCTCCCATTGTTTCTTCCCTTCCCTCCTCCTCCTCTTCCTCCTCCCCCACCCCCACTTCCCCTCATGGAGAGTAGATCCTAACCGTGAGTAGCTTTGCTCTTAACCGTGAGTGATTGAGTGCACGCTGTGAGTGCACGCTGTGAGCTCACGCAGTGGTGAGTACACGCTGTGAGCGCACGCTGTGAGTGCACGCTGTGGTGAGTGCATGCTGTGAGTGCACGCTGTGAGTGCACGCTGCGGTGAGCGCACGCTGTGAGTGCACGCTGCGAGTGCACGCTGTGAGTGCCCGCGGCGCCGAGGGCTCGCTGAGCTGATGAGCGCGCTCGCACAGCATGCGCTCGCAGCGTGCGCTCACAGCGTGCACTCACAGCGTGGGCTCACAGCGTGGGCTTACAGCGTGGGCTCGCAGCGTGGGCTCGCAGCGTGGACTCACAGCGTGGGCTCACAGCGTGGACTCAGAGCGTGGGCTCGCAGCGTGGGCTCACAGCGTGGGCTCGCCGCGGCGGGCACGCACAGCAGCGTGGGCCAATCACGCTGTGAGTGCACGCTGTGAGTGCACGCTGTGAGTGCACGCTGTGAGCGCACGCTGCGCGCCACCCGGTGAGAAAGACCGTGAGCGCACGCTGTGAGTGCACACTGTGGGCCCGACGGTATCTCGAATTGCTTACGCGCTGGATTTCTCTGCGCGGTCCGAGAGTGATGTCCTCTGTGGTGTGTGTGTGTGTGTGTGCGTGCGTTTGTGTGGTGGTGGTGGTGGTGGTGGTGGGAGTGGTGGTGGCGGTGATTGTGGTGGTGGTGGTGGCGTTGGTGGTGGCGGTATCGTTGGCGGTAGTAGAGGCTGTGGTGGTGGGGTGGTGGTGGTGGTGGTGGTGGTGGTGGTGTGTGTGTGTGCGTGTGTGCGTGGTGGGTATTGTGAGGTGTGCGGCGTGCGGCGTGCGGTGTGCGGTAGGCGGTGTGTGGTGTATGGTGTGTGGTGTGTGGTGTGTGATGCGTCGTGGGTGCTGTGTGGTGCGTGGTGGGTGGTCTGTGGTGGGTGGTGGTGGGTTGTGTGTGTGTGTGTGGTGTGGGAGGTGTGCGGTGTGTGGTGTGGTGTGTGGTGTGTGGCGTATGGTGTGTTGTGTGTCGTGTGTTGCGTGTGGTGTATTGCGGGTGGTGTGTTGCGTGTGGTGTATTGCGGGTGGTGTGTTGCGTGTGGTGTGTTGCGTGTGGTGTGTTGTGTGTGGAGTGTTGCGTGCGGAATGTTGCGTGTCGTGTGTGCGTGTGGTGTGTTGCGTGTGGTGTGTGGCAAGTGGTGTGTTGCGTGTGGTGTGTTGCGTGACGTGTGTATGTGTGTGGTGTGTGGTGTGTTGCGTGTGGCGTGTTGCGTGTGGTGTGTGTGTGTGTGTGTGCTGCGTGTGGTGTGTGGCGTGTGGTGTGTTGCGTGTGGTGTGTTGAGTGTGGTGTGTTGCGTGTCGTGTGTGTGTGGCGTGTGGTGTGTTGCGCGTGGTGTGTTGTTGCGCGTGGCCTGTTCGTGTGGTGTGTTGCGCGTGGTGTGTTGCGTGTGGTGTGTTGCGTGTGGTGTGTTGCGTGTGGTGTGTTGCGTGTGATGTGTTGCGTGTGGTGTGTTACGTGTGGTGTGTTGCGTGTGGTGTGTTGCGTGGGCTCACAGCGTGGGCTCGCAGCGTGGGCTCACAGCGTGGGCTCACAGCGTGGGCTCGCAGCGTGGGCTCGCAGCGTGGGCTCGCAGCGTGGGCTCACAGCGTGCACTCCCAGCGTGGGCTCACAGCGTGGGCTCACAGCGTGGGCTCAACACAGCGTGCACTCACAGCGTGGGTTCAACACAGCGTGCACTCACAGCGTGGGCTAAACACAGCGTGCACTCACAGCGTGGGCTCAACACAGCGTGCGCTCACAGCGTGGGCTCACAGCGTGAGCTCACAGCGTACACTCAACACAGCGTGCACTCACAGCGTGGGCTCAACACAGCGAGCACTCACAGCGTGGGCTCACAGCGTGGGCTCACAGCGTGGGCTCACAGCGTACACTCACAGCGTACACTCACAGCGCGCACTCACAGCGTACACTCACAGCGTACACTCAACACAGCGTGTACTCACAGTGTGCACTCACAGCGTGTACTCAATCACTCACGGTTAAGCGAATTTCCACTCACGGTTAGGCGAATTTCCACTCACGGTTTGGATTCACCTTCCCCCCCTCTCTCTGTCTCTTTGCCTCTCTCTCTCTCTCTCTATCTCTCTCTCTTCCTCTCTCTTTCTCTCTCTCTCTCTCTCTCCCTCGCTCCCTTTCTCTTATTCCAGATTTTCTGGTTCCGCCGCCCCTTGGGGGGGTGGGGGCTGCGGGTTTGCTGCTGGTGCTCCTTGCCGTGCCCCTGCTGCTGGTTCGGTGCCTCGTTGCCAGGTGCTTGCGGCCGGCTGCTTCAGTCGTCGTTGTCGTTGTGGCCGTTGCTTTTGTTTTCGTCGTCGTTGTCGTCATCGTCGTCGCCGTTGTCGCCCTTGTCGTTGTCGCCGTGGTCATCGCCGTCGGCGTCGTCGTCTCTCCACTTGCCCGCCCCCTGCCCCCTGTGGCAGGCCTGCAAGGAAATGCGTAATGAGGGAATGCAGATGTTTGTCTCGATGCCAACTTTCGCTTCTCCGCCGCCCCTGGGGGGGGGTCGGGGTGGCTGCTTTTGCCCTGCCGGTGGGGTTGCCGTCGTCGCCGTCGCCCTCGTCTGCCTTGTGCTGGTGGTGGGTGTCGTCCCGTCCGCCGTCGGTGTCGGTGCCGTCGTCGACGTCGTGGGCGTCGTCGCTTTCGGCGTCGTCGCCGCCGCCGTCGCCTCCCTCTCCGTCTCTCTCCCTGCCCCCCTCGTCGCCTTCGCTGTCGTCGTCGCCGTCGGCCTGGCCTTTCTCCGCCCGCCCCCTGCCCTGGTTGGGGCCGTGCGGACACGGGTGACAAGGGTGCAGGAACGGGGGGCCCGTAGGCCCTCGAGGCGGCCGGCGCCCCCGTCCTGGCCCAGCGGGGCCTGGTGCGCCCGCGCGAGACTGCGCGCAACCAATTGCGAAAAGGGAAAAGGGAAAGGGGGAGGAGGAGGAGAAGGCGGAGGAGGGGGAGGAGGAGGAGGAGGAGGAGGAGGAGGAGGAGGAGGAGGAAGAGGAGGACGAGGCGAGGCCCCCGAAGATGCAACGCAAGATCTGGGCCTGGCGACGCGGCATGCCGAGAGCAGCCGATCCTGGCCGACCACGCGGCGGCGGCGGCGGCGGCGGCCACGCGCGGCATCTGGCGGCCTGCCAGCGGGTCGTCCGCGTCGACACGGTCCGCGCGGGGGCCTCGGCTGGCGCCGAGCAGCGAGAAGATGAGGAGGAGGAGGAAGAGGGGGAGGAGGCGGAAGGGGGACGGGGCGGAGGAGGAGGCGGAGGAGGAGGAGGAGGAGGAGGAGGAGGAGGAGGCAGGGGGAGAATGTGGAGGAGGAGGAGGAGGAGGAAGAGGAGAAGGAGGAGGAGGAGGAGGAGGAGGAGGAGAAAGGAGGAGGAGGAGGAGGAGGAGGAGGAGGAGGAGGTGAACACGAAGAGGGGGAGAAGGAGGGAGGAGGAGGGAGGAGGAGGAGGAGGAGGCCCGCCCTTCTGACAGGCCTCGGGGCGCGACATGGATAACTTATTCATAAGGAGGAGGAACAGGGGAGAAGGAGGAGGAGGGGGAGGGGGAGGAAGATGAGGAGAAGGACGAGGAGAAGGAGGAGGAGGAGGAGGAAGAGGAGGAGGAAGAGAAGGAGGAGCGGAGAGGGGGGATGGAGAGGAGTGAGGGGAAGAGAGAGGCGGGAGGATGGCGGGGGAGGATGGGACATAGAAAAGGCGGGGCTTGAACATTGTCCGAACCGGCCTGACGAGAAGCGTCCGATACCAAGGAGGTCTAATGGCGCCTGCGAGTCCATCGGCACGACCAGTTGCAGCAGGGCGACCTTCAGGCCATATAGCAGCAGCAGCACGGCGACGCAGACCTGTGGAGCCAATGCTGTTGCTGCTCCCGCTCCTGCTCGTCTTCTTCCTCCTCCTCCTCCTCCTCCTCCTCCTCCTCCTCCTCCTCATCCTCCTCCTCGTCATCAAGACCGATCCTCGTTTCTCAATCTCCCCCTCTCTCTCCTCCTGCCTGCCTGCCTCTCGTAAGACGAAGCCGGGACGAGGATAGAATTGGGTGAGGACAAATCGAGCATCTCTGAGATCCGGCAACTCTGGCGGATGTATCGGGCGCTGCGGCCTTCTCAGATCGTTCCGGAACGCTCTGAGAGCGTTCCAGAACGCTCTGGAACGATTGCATCATCGTCCTATCCCCGTCTGATTCTCTCTCTCCTCCCGTCTGCCTCTCGACTTCAGTCTGGCCATCAAGCCAGCCAGCCGCCTCAAACAAGCGGTGGCCTACGCGCCAATTGCCCCCGCGGTCCTCCTCGAGGGGCGCCTGGCCCTCGGGGGCCGCGTGGCGGCCAAGTTCGAGGCCGCCGAAACGCAAGGCGACGTGAACTCAATGTTCACGTCCGCTAGCGAGGCCGCCCACCACGAGCACCACGAGCACCACGAGCTCGCCCGCTCGGCGGAGCCTCCCCCGCCGAGCGAACCGCACCCTCCAGCTTCCACTGTGCACTGTGCACGAGCGGCCCCCGCGCTTCAAGGAAGGCAACGCCGCCCCCGCCATGCGTTCGCGCCGCGGAGAAGCCAGCCGCGTCGCCCAAAGCTTCGAGAAACTCTGGCGACAACTCCGCGCCCTGAACGCCCAACTGTGCTGCGTCCACCGGGCGCGCAACCAAGGGCGTGACCCGGTCACTGAGATGCTGGACAATGCCCGCTTCACCTGGGCGACCGCCACTCCGTCGGCCACGCGTCACCGCCCCACCTGCTTCACCGAACGGCCCCCCAAACTGGGACTTGGCCCAGCTCCCCACGACCGATTTTGTTGCCGAAATTGGGCGCCGCCGTGGAACGCGTACAACACAGTCGGACGCGAGAAGCCAAGATCATCTGCGCCAATGGCTGGAACTGCCTCATGCGGGCCAACGACAGGGGCCAGGCCTAGGTCGATCAGATCAAGCAGACTGAAGCTGCCGCCGCCAGCTACCCCCAATCCCCACGCGACGACCTTGGTCACGCTCCCATCTACACGGGGGAAGAGTGCGCGGGCACAGAATGCGATCCCGGAGACGACTCCACCGACGTCCCCAGCTTGGACACGGAGTCCGACGCTCCGACGCGGGCGGTTCCACCGATGGCGACGACCCGACCCCACGCATCCGAAGGGCGGTCGACCAGCCAAAGTCCATGATCGCCGAGACCAGCGCCATGTCGTGTCTCATCACTGACACCTGGGAACCAATCCTGGGTGCGCAGGCACCGCGGCACAGGCCACCGCGCCACGGACGAAGCGAGATTCCCACCTGGCGAGCGCTCCGCACCAAGCGCGCTCAGGCGCTCCCTGCCCGGGCTCGGGCGGACCCCTCCGCCCTGGCCGACGAGCCCCTCGCCCGCTTCGTCCGCGGCAGGCCGGCGGGCCGGCACGGCGACCTCCGCAACGCCCTCCTCCACCTCTTCGCCCGTGTCCTGCGCGCCGTATGCAGGCCGCGGCCGCGATCCCCGAGTCGCGGCTCCGCGCCCCCATGCCTCCGGCAGGGGCGGGGTGAGCTCCCCACCGACCGGCGGTCTCCGTCGGTGCTCTCGGCTTGGACGCTACGCCTGGGAAGCCCCGCGTGGCCGACGGCAGTCCCAACGGCCGCAGAATCCCGCAGGTCTCGCGATCAGACCGCGCGCTTTGACGGGCCGTCCGGTAAGCAGATCCGCCGTGGCGAGGTGGCCGGGCGGGCGCAGGGCCGCGATCGCTCCGCGCTCCGGCGGCCGGCCCCGCGACCCGCGGAACCCCGCTCCGGGTCCAGCCGCAGCTCGAGCTCGCGGGCAGCTGCATCAACGTTTCCAGCGGCCCCGCGCGCGCGGGGCTCCACTTGGCTGCCGCTGCCGACGCCCCGGTCCACCGCCCCATGGGCCGTCTCGCCCGCCCTCCAGCGGGCGCGGAGGACAAGGCCGAGGCGGCACGCTCGCTCGCGCCGCCGCACGGGCGAGCGGCCCCCCCCCGCGCCTGGCGCAAGACGGCCCGCGACAATGGAGCCCCCTTTGCCGCCCCTCGCGCGTGAGGCAGGGCCCAGATGTCTTTCTCGGTCATCCCCCGCCCTCGGGCTCCAGGCCGCGACCTGGCGCGAGATCCTCGTCGCCGCGCGCTGCGAAGCCGCGGAGACGCTGGCCTTGCCCGCGTGGCAGCGCACCTCCGCGACGCAGTGCAGGCCCAGGACGAGGGCGGGCCCGTCGGTCGCCTCCTCCAAACCATCCGGCGGCTCAGCTTGGAGCTTCGCCTGACCTGGCCGACGTGCGGCATCCTCCAGGACACCCGGGGCGCAGAGCTGCAGCAGCTTGGCTTGGCGCGCCCCAGCCCGCCTCGACGCGCGTGCGCTGTGCCTCCCAGCGGCGGGATGCCTTCGCCCCGCGAGTCCCGGGCGGCGCGACCTCGGCTGCACCTGCGGCGAGGTCCACGGTCTCTGCGCGCGCGCGTCGCTGCGCGGCTTGCCACGCGCCACGGGCCAGGCCGAGCTCGGCGACCGGCAGGCGCGGTCTGCGGGGGCGACCGCGCGCAGCTGCGCCGCCACGCGCGGGCCCGCCCAAACGTCAGCTGTCCTGTCCTCGCTGCGCCGCCGATTCGACACGCTTCGATCGCCGCCGGCTGGCCCCGACCTCGCTGGTTCCAGAAGCTCTTGGGCGCGCGCCCCCGCCCGGCGTCCGCCGCTGCGGCCTGGTCGAAGAAGATTGCTATTCCGGATCCCCAGATCCCCGACGTCGTGATTTTTTCACAACATCGACTCCCAGAGGTCTGGACCACTTCCCCGGGAAAGGTTTTTCGTCCTGAGTCGTTGTTTCGTTGTTGGACGGTCCTGAGGCCTTGTAAGGGCTCCCGGAGGCTGAGAACAGCGAAACACATCCCGTCGTTTTTTTACAACGCGAGGGGGTCTGGGTCTCCAGGCCGCCGAGTCGCGCGACCCATTTCCGAGGCCGATCCCGCGGGCCGTCCAAGGACGCCGCATTGAAAAAATCAGGACGTCGCATGTCGGGGTTCACAACGTCGACCCCCCGAGGTCTGGACCCCTTCCCCGGGACCGGTTTTTCATCCTGAATCGTTTTTTGACGGTCCCGAGGCCCGGCTAGGGCCGCCAGGGGCCGAAAACGGCCAAAAACCCGCCGCCCTGATTTTTTACGACGCGATCATGTCTGGGTCTGCCTCGTTGCCACGGGCGCATGGCCCGCCCGCGTCGACGTCGGCCAGCGGGCTGCCGCCCGCCGCGGGCGCGCGAGAAGCGACGCGCGCGGGAATGCATTCCCAGACCCCCTCGCGTCCTGAACAAAATCACGACGGGATGCTTTTCAATGTTTTCGGCCTCGGGGGGCCCTCGCCGGGCCTCGGGAGCGTCCAAAAGTGACTCAGGATGAAAAAGCGGTCCTGGGGAAGGGGTCCAGACCTCTGGGGGTCGACGATATGAAAAAATCACGACGTTGGGGGTCTGCGCTCCTGGCCGCCCAGGGCGAGCTCGACGAGCTCCGCGTCGAACGAGTGGCCTGCCACCTGCGCGGCCAGCCTGGGGTCGACGCGGGGCTTATCATCTCTGTCGCGGCCGCTCATGTCAGCCGTTGCGCGGTTGAGCTCGCCGCCAGGGCGGTCGCCGTGCGCGAGATGCTGGCCCTGAGATCCGACGTGGCGAAACAAATTGCAACACCGTACAGAACCACGACCGGAGCCCTGGACCCCATCTTTCTGCGTCGTGTCTCGCGCCGGATCGGGTCCCAGGGCTCGAACCAAAAAGGCGAAAACGCCTGGCTCTGACTTTTTTTTGCTTTTACCATCGCGACGCCGATTGATTCAACTACGTTGCCTGCAGCACGCGCCGGCCAGGGCGGACAAATCCTGCACCCCCTAGACAGACAGACGCAGACGAACATTTTTCTAACCGTGAATCGTAATCCGCATCCCCTCCAGGGGGCTGTGGGATGAACCGGACAGAGCAAAGCACGGAATAAGCAAGACAACAATTCCGCACAAACGGAATCAACACGCTGGTTCTCGCCACTGCCACGCCTGGCTCTGGAAAATTGAGGCGCCAGGATCTCAGAGGATGCCGGCCGAGGCCGTCCACTCCGCCGGAGCCAGCCGCGAGTTCGCCGCCGCCCTGCGCAGCGTGGCCGTCGCGATGCACGACTAGCGCGTGGGCCCGCCCGCCGCTTGCCGCGGGCCGCCGGGGCCCTCGCGCGCATCCAGGCCGTCTCTCTCTCTCTCTCTCTCTCTATCACCCTCTTCCTCGCTCTCTCTCTATTATTCTCTCTCTCTCTCTCTTTGAATTATGTTGTTGCCTCTCTCTCTATATTTCTCTCTCGCTCTCTCCGTCTCCATCTCTCTCTCTCTATTGTTTTATTTTCTCTCTCCCTCTATTTCTCTTTTGTCTTTCTCTCTTTCCGTATGTGTATATACAACTCTATTGCTTGTTGATATATCTGTCTCTCTCTCTCTGTCTCACTCTCTCTCTCTCTCTCTTTTTCTCTCTCTCTCTCTGCGTCTCTCTCTCTCTCTCTCCTTCTCTCTTTCTCTCGATCTTTTTTTTGTCTCTCTCTCTCTCTATCTCTCTTTCCCCCCCCCTCTCTCTCCCTCTTGTTGTTTTGTTGTGTTGGTTGTCTTTATATCTCTCTCTGTATGTACTTCCCGATATCCCTATAGTTATGGATTGTTCTCTTTACCTCTCTCTCTCTATCTCTCTCTCTCTCTCTTTCTCTCTTTCTCTCTTTCTGTGTTTATGTGTTGTCTTTACCTCTTTATCAATATGCTTTTCTCTTGTTGCTGTGGTATGTGATCCCCTTCTTCTTCGTCCTCACTCCATTCTCCTTCCTCCATATCTCCCTCCCCCCCTCCTCCATCTCTCCTCCAACT